GTGGTTGATTTTATATTTGCCATCATTTATTGTTTCAGGTGAACTTATTCATGAATCTGAAAGTCTTCAGCCTAATTTTCCCTTTGTCATTTGGCTGAAAGCAGCTTTCCCTCTATTTGTGCTCACCTTGCAGAAGTAAGGACGGTATACGTTATTTTCAGCCTAAACTGCTGAATGAATAACTGTAATTAGTGAGATTTTGAATTATAAAGATGGTAGTGTAGAAATATAAGATTCCTGCTTTTGATATTTTTATATATGTCCTGTAGTATGGAAAGGAAATGAATGGAAGAGAAAAGTGTATGAGAAAGGAGGACGCTAAAACAACTGAGAGATCAACCTTATTGAAAAACTCAACATTGAAGACTGTTGGTTATTTTTCTCTTTCTTAAGCATTCATTTAGCTATTTAGCATTTAGTCCTGTGCTTTACTCATTATTTTGTTAATGAATACATAATCTTTTCTGGCCATATAGTGATCTGGAAGACACTAAATCCAAATCAGAAATGAGATGCAGCATTAAAGCCTCAGAGTGTCTCTAATGTTGCAAGTATATTTGATAAAATGTAAATCAAACAATTGAACTCACTCATCAGAAAAAAAAAAACGAGCATGGATCTTCGCAAGTCGCACTTACTGAATAAATCCCGTGCTTCAGAAGGAGAAAGAACTCAGACAGACAGAACCCGTCTAATCTCCTTTCCACATGTATATTGCATGCAACCACTCAGGATTTGGAAACCAGAAAAACAGAATTCACAATGTGAGACTTGGTGTTCAGAATGATGAACAAAGAATTTGACACTGTTCATTGCTTCACAAACAGAATTTTCAGAATCCCAGACAGCCAGAGCCTCGTATTCTGCGCAGAATGATCTGCTTGGATCTGAGAGAAGAAATGCAGCAGCACTGACACATTCTTTCTTGCTGTGATAGAGTCCTACATGGCCAATGGGGTTTTCTTCAGAAAAAAAGTTTAATTTGTTTTCCCAAACTATAGACTTCTTTTACATCCACTTAAAATATGCAGTTACTTGTTTGTATCAGGTTTGTTTTGTAGGGTAAATGATTGAATCGCTCAGAGACTCTTTGTCAGCAAAAGCTGTTCGGAGGGATTCCTCAGTGCTGGAAGGTGCTAACTTGCCTCTTGTGTAGTCCCAGATTCACAGAGAAAATTAGATTCTCCCACACTAAGCAAAGGCGTTAGCTCTATCAACTAAGGTGCGGGGCAGTCTCTCTCTTCTCCCTGGCTCCTTTTCAAATAGGTCAGCAGTAAAAGTTATACACATGAACAAAGAATTAAACGACAGCTAATTCACACTGCACTGGAATAGTCAGTAAATTGTAGAGGCTGCCTGATTTCCTTCATATTCACGTGAAGATAATAGAGGAATGTAAGAGATAATTCGAAATAATAGAGAAAATAGTTTTCTGTAGCTTTGAAACTGGCTGCCCATCACTGAAGAAGAGAATAAAGTCTGGGGATGTTTATGCACACACAAACTGAAATAGATGACCCTAGTCAAAGATAGCAAACTAAACCACAAAGAAACAGAAAAAGGGATAAAGCAGGAATCAATATGTAACAGAGGAAAAAAGAAAAGTTTGGATTTAAATCTAAGCTGCTAAATACTGGCTGAGCAGGTTCATTGTTCTCTTGAAAAAGAAATCGCTACTTCAGCATTTAAAGTGAGAGAATATAGTCAAGAAAGCCCCTTTAGGCTTTGACTATTTTCACACTATCCCATTAAAATGTACCGTTGCATACTAATGAAAGTAAACATGAAGGAGGGGGAAAGAGGAGGCGATGGGGCAACGAGGAGGATTGAGAGACAGACAGAGAGAAAGAGAGAGGTAGAGAGAAGGAAAGAAGGACCAACCTCTAGGTTAATAACCACTGTTTTCCTTTTTCAGAAAGAGTTTAGAATTTTGAGTTTCTGAAAAGCGGAGTACTCAAACCACTAAAGAATTCACTGTTGTTTTTTTCTAATTTTAGTAACAGTAGTAATCACAAGAAATCTCCTAGTGACAGTTGAAATAGGAACTAAGAAGATGAGAGAAAAAGAGGAAGAAAACCAACAACAAATGGAAAACAAAGCCAAAACAAACATGCTAACTTGGTCCATCAAGGTGAATTTGCCTCAATTATTCCAACTTCTCTCCAACAGTCCGGTTCTCACAGCAGCTGCTTTTCGCAACTGCCTGTGGCATTAACTTTTCAAACTTTAATTTTCCAGTCAGATGCCAGGCATACCTGAGCTCACTTATGACAGGCACGATTAGCCATGCTTGTTGGGTCTAGGAACCATGGGGTCTTTACTGCAATGAGAAATTAAACCTTAAAAAGTCATTCTGATTTACAACTATACAAATTCTCACAATGTGGTAATAAAGAGGCTACATGATAAAAGCTGACAGGATGTTAAGCTTCTTGCACAAGTGTGGACAGCTGAAGAGGCAAGAAATAATACAGTTGTCACTGGGCTGTTCCACCTCAACACAGAGCAAACAAAAAGAGCGCTGTTAATCAGTTCAACTCTTCGGCTGGATAATCCTAAACCAGTAATTGATAAATGGGAAAACCATACGGCCTCAACTCTGTGATTCATAAAACACATGAATATTCATACCACCTCCTTTGGTCAAGAGGCATTCTACATGCTTCTAGGCAGCCTTTGAAAGAGGAATACAAATAGTTTCTTGCTCAGCAGTAAAATGCTGCTTCCCTTTTAAGGCCTATTTTCTCCTATTAAAAGTGAAGTTCGGCGATACACAGAGGACAGTAAACCCAGTAAACATAGGTAAATGACAAATGGGTCTCCAGGAAGTACTGTACTTCAGCTTCTTCATCCAGCTACATTTGGAAAAATACCACATCTTTAAAGGAAATAGGATACTTCCACTGCCAGAAAAACATGTTCATCCTGGAAATACTTACTTAGTCTCTGCATTTCTAAGAAAAATTTATTTTTCAATAAAACCTTAACATCTGAATTTCTGATGTGCTGGATACAAATAGTCTAGCTGTGGATGGTATTAAAAAAATTTTCAGCCTAATGTTGCTATAGAATACACGGCAGCTTATTATTAATAAAATCAATTTAAAAAGTACTTAAAAGTAAAGTTTATGGGTTTTGTATTAATTCATTTTACCTTTCAAAAATGCATCTAAATTATAGTGAAATAAACTCAACGTACATATCAGAACAAAATTATGCACTAAGGCATATAAATTGTAATGCTTTAAGTAGAAGTATGCTTTAAGCAAATCTGGAGTTAGAGAACTTCTGGAAAACCATTTGTAGAAAACGGAGAATTTGTTTACAGTTTCGTCTCTTGTATAAATTGATTTTCCTATATGGCTTCTCTTAAATCAGAGCACCTGTTACTATACCTCATCTATGGTATGAAAATCACCCATTATCCCAGACCTCAAAGATAAAAGCAAAAAAGGAACCAAAAACTAAGGAAAAGAGTGGTGTATTTGGTTATATGGAAATGTCAAAATCTTCAACATAAGGATATTCTTCAACAACATTTAGAATATTGGTTAAATGATAATCAAACACGACTGTCTGCAAAATAAAGATTGAGAAATAATACAAGGTATGCCCATATGATGAAATTCAAGGCAGCGATTTAAAGGCATAGTTAGAGGAGTAATTACTGATATGTGCAGGTTCTCGTGCTATATTTATAAAAGTGGATTCAAAAGTCTCTTATGCAGGGACTGGCCCGGTGGCACAGCACTTAAGTGTGCACATTCCGCTTCTCGGCTACTTGGGGTTCGCCAGTTCAGATCCCGGGTGTGGACATGGCACCACTTGGCAAAAGCCGTGCTGTGGCAGGCGTCCCACATATAAAGTAGAGGAAGATGGGCACGGATGTTAGCTCAGGGCCAGGCTTCCTCAGCAAAAAGAGGAGGACTGGCAGTAGTTAGCTCAGGGCTAATCTTCCTCAAAAAAAAAAAAAAAAAAGAATCTCTTATGCAGTATGATCCTGACATATAGATATATATATAATGACTTATACAGTATGATCCTGATCTATATCTAATTTTTCTATGTAAATATACAGAATTTTATATATATATATAATTTGTTTACATAGAAAAAACTTAGAAAGGAATATATTTTACCATTGATCATGACTGATCTAAACATTTTGGGGATTTTTCAATGCCTAGACTCTCCCCGGTAGTTTTCCTCAGTTACATTAATTCTGCGTGATCACTCCATTCAAGTTCTTTTCTCCGAATTTCTGTGTAATGAAGATTTGGTTTTCAATTGTCTTTTCTTTCATTATGATAGTTTTGTGTCTCCAATACATCATATACAATATGAAGACAGGGAAAGGTTATATATATGATATATACATATATTTCTGTTTCCAACAATGTAGTGCAAATAATAGAGTGTCAACATACTCTGTTTGTGATTGTTCTCTGACTTTTCTATTATTTGGTTCCTGATGAAATTTAAAAACTAATTCCTCTGGCACAACCCATGGGGAGAAAGAACCTCTCCAACATGACTGACATCATTTTCCTTTTCACTCTCCATTGAAAGCTTACAGAATTTTAAAACAGTCCAGTGATCCACTTTCTGTTTCACTGCTAACTTCTCTACAAATTTTATTTGAAATATGAAATGGAAGTAATTTTCCTAAGAGATATCACAGCTTCTGCATAAAATATGAACAATTCAGAGGAAGTGAAAGTCTCTTATTCGTTCCTAACCTTCATAGCAATAACCACTGTTAGTAGTTTGGTGTGTAATTTCTAGACTGTACTTAATTATATTGGAAGCTCTCACCACCCAGCATTTTATTATGACAATTTTCAAACATACAGAAAAGTTTAAAGTATTGTACAGTAAACACTCACATACCCACTACTTAGATTCTACGATTAACTTTGACTATATTGTATCTTAAGCTTTTAACATGTACAAAAAAATCATGCTTCTTATTCCTTAAGCATTCCTTAATCATTTTACAGACATGGAAGTATGTAATGAAAAGGAATCCTTCTACAATAAGAAAAGTGTCATTTACATTTTTTCCCCGATTCTCTGAGGACATCAGACTTGGAGTGACAAAGAGGCTTGGAGTGAACCAGAATGAGAGCTTGACAGGAAGAGGAACATGTGTCCTGTCTACCTAAAGAAACCCCAAACCCAAACGAAAGAAACAGAAAGTTTGTATGTGCTCTGAAATAAAATAGATGTTACTCCATTACTTGCCTAAGTGCCATGACTGTTGTCAACATCTACTGTTATTTTCTAGGTGCCGCCCTTTAAGGATGCTTCTAAGTGCTGCAAACTTGACGTGCAATTCTATCACAATCAGGGCCCGCAAGGAGTTAGAGTTTTCCCCATTGCTTATTTATGCATTTGCTGCCACAGTTCTGTCTACAAGTTGCACAACAAATCTCCAAACAAACTCCAGGACAAACATTCTAGAATTCTAGAATGAAGACTTAACAGCTCTTAATTTAGCCAGTGACAGATAGTTAAACACAGTGGGCAGAGAAAAGGCAAATAGAAAAAAAAGTCTTTGATTGTGTGTTTAGCACAGCAGAGCACTTTAAATCCCAAATAGTCAATAAACTTGTTTTCTTTTCTACAAAATGAGTCTAATACAATACCCATCACAAACGTATTTTCAGATCAAAAAGAGACGATACATAAAGTGTAACATGATGACTGTCATATAATAATTAGTAAATGTTAGTATTGTTTCCTAGTGCTATTTTCCTTATTTTTCATATAAAGTGACAATTTGGTGTAATTACACTGTATTTCTAAAAGATAACTATATGGGTTGCATATACATATATAAATGTATGTTTAATTGATTTCATCAAAATATATAGGTATCCTTTCCAGTTAGACTATGAATATTACAAGAGCTCTAAACTGTGTTTAGAAGTGGTGCATATACGAGGATGCAATGTCAAAAATTAGTGTTGCACTTTGGGGAGAGAGAGAGGGAGGGCGACTCATATACAAACACATTACCCCTTCAATCAGCAAGGAAAATGGTTCAAATTCTAACTACTAAGGCACTACAGGCGGCAGGTTTGTGAACAAGGTACAGTTCCACAAATGTGAGAACTTACTGCATTTCCATGATCATGAGAGTTGTAGTCTCCCTTTCAGAGTTATCAGGATCTAGTGAATTTAGGAATATATATATGTGTGTATATATCTATATCTATATCTATGTATCTATATATATAACAAAGGCTTACTGTATATGTGTATATACATATATGTATATATATATATATACTTTTTTTAACAGAGGCTTATTATGAATATGAGTTTTAGTGCTATTTCACATTTTGGTCCAAAGACAGTTTTTCAGTGAATAACACCAATTTTTCTTTAAACAGTTTCCCCTTTAGCAATCACTCTGAATGACTGTTTGAAATTAAAAGCAATAAAATACTTGACACCTTTACAAATTTTGGGGTTTTAATCCCTTATTTTTTTGTTTGAAATTTGCTCATTCTTTCTGGCTTAATCAGTTTAGGAGGGAACATGAGCCCCTGCAGTTTCAGAAAATTCGAGGATTCTCCCAGCAATGCTTATGAAGCCGTTGAGACTATGCTTAACTTTTAGTGATGAAGATTTAAATAAGTTTGGAAAAAGATTTAGGTACACAACTGGGAGAAAGCCATATACTGAGCTTTCAGAAATGTACTTATTAAAATTATAACAGACATTATTAACTGACATTTAAGGTGAATAGCTCCAGGCGGATCCAGACTCAATCTATTTTTGTCCGTCAACACTTTGCTGACAGGTTTAATGGACACCTTTGTAAATTATTTTAACTGGTATTAGCAACACGGATCTTTAAGCCCCCTCAAACCTTATCCCACAGATTGACTCCTAATGGATTAACTGAATTCAGCAGACAAGAGCTGCCAAAGCATTAGCATTTCTTTACATTTCAGTTTTGGCTTTATGCGAAGATGTCAATGTTTACTTTAAAACTAAATCCAATCTCTGAAAAATATTTATAGTTCATGTGCCAATAACGTCTCACACTGTGGCACAGGTAATTATAACTAATGGAAATCGGCAGTGATAAACTTGCTTTATAATAATCTCAGAGACGCTAGCAGTGTGCGGAACACATGCTTTTTCAATCCATTATTGAAAACATCTGATACATCTGTGAGAACTGGGGTTTCTTTTTTTCCCCTCTCTAGTGTTCTGAGTACTGGGAACAGTTACAACTACAACATTTTAAGAGGCTGATTTTTTTTTTTCTTCACACACACAAAACCATGAAAGAAGCCTTTACAGGAAGTAACAAATACTCCTAAATGACATTTCATTAAAAATGTGTTCCCTTGGAAAGCGGACAGAACTAAAAGCCATGCTTTTACTTGGCAGAAAAAGTGGTACAGCCGGCAATGTGTGCAGCTAAGGAGCATCAAAATCTACTTTGCCATGGATGTGAGCAGCATTCTGACCTAGCAAAGAAAAAGGCAAAGGAATTTTACATGTGCTTTGATATCTTCTACACTGCAATTTCAGTGGAATTCCCATTTTGAAGCAAAGAACAAACAGAAGATGCAGACAATTGTATAAACTATGTCAGTACAAAGCCACTGGATATATTTTCGGTTTCATTTTTTTTAAATCCCACATTATGACAATAAAAACTAAAGCGCTTTTTTTTTAAAGAAAAAGTAATTTGGATATGCATCTATTTTAAATATGTCAATTGTCAACTCTGGATAGACCGATGATATTATGTCAGTCTTTTCCTTTTTTTTTCTTTTCTTTTTCTTCTTCTTTCTTCCTTCTTTCCTTTCTTTCTGCCAAATTGGATTTTGTTAAAGCTCCAGAACCCATTATCTTGTTTCTGTGACAAATTAAAACATAATAAGAAAAATTTAAAAATTGTAAACACAGTGGCCAAAATAATACTTTAGATTATTCTTAAGACATCTGCTTTCAGTTCTTACCTGAAGGGCAAATGATTTATCTGAGTTGTTTCCTTCTCTTCTAGGTAGAAGCATGCCCAACTCATCTTTCCTCTTGCCCCACTTCTGAGAACTGAAAAAGGAGATTAAAATCGTCATTGAAAAATCTGTCTATGACAAGCTTTAAAATACTCAGTAAAAGAGTTTGCAAAGCAGAGTTAAATCTCTTCTGGGAATGCATTGCCAAGTTGTTTTTCAAGGTTACTTTCTCTTCATTAAAAACTTCGTAAAATAATGAAGAAACTACTTCCCATTGCTCCCCTACTCGAACTTTCTCTTGGTTTGAGGGTAATGCAAGCTCATGTTCTGTAAGAATTCTTTGCTTCATATTCACTGTAAACAGAAAAGAGCCATAATTACACCACATTTGATCCATATCAAAGCAACTGATCCATGTATCAATTTACATAAAGTAAAGCACATAAAACATTTTTGCTTTTCACTGTGACTTCACCACTTTCTAAGGAAAGTTTCCCTTTGCATACATTATTTGAATATAAAACCCTCCCGTTGAAATTTGTGATGTTAAACAAACCATACCAGTCATTCAACTTTTTAATTAAGGATTCAGTGTTCCATCCCTTTTCAGACATTAAAATTCAGGTGCAGTCATTAATCTTTCTAAACGAATTCACCTGTGGCTAATACTGATGTATTTTCTATGAGGCTTGTCATGGGCTGCATGCTGCATGCATAACCACTCTACAGTTAATTACACAGGGGATTATCGTTAGTGTCATAAAGATAAAGCCTTGCTAGCAGCATTATAGAAAAGGTTCCTTTTGCTTCCTCCCTCCTCCCCTCTTTTTGGAGCAATGCTCTATTTCGTTTTGTTAACATCCGCATAAGTATCTAAAAGTAATACATTGTGTTTACCTCCATGGCAGGCTTAAGATGTAAGTCAGAGAAGGAGTTAGAAGGTGGGCACGAACGGACATCTATTTCGGAGTTTTGCTATGACAACCTAATTTGCAAGATTTGGCCCAAATCCAAAAGAACTGAGAATAACATAAACGAAATGTACCTTTTCATTTTTAGGCACCTTGGTTAAATATATGAAATAGACATTTTTCCTGGATTTGTGAATTGAATGGTAGCTCATATACTAGCCGCATTAAGAAAACCAAAAGGAGATTTGCCAGTTTTAGTAAAAGACCTCCTTTAGATGTGTGATGAGTACAATTTACGGAAAATCTTTTTTTAAAACATAAAGTAGCTTTATAGGCTATGTTAACAACAATAACAACAAAAATAATCAAAAACAAAAGAAAAACAAAACCAATTCAGCAAGTTAGGTGAATGTAGTTTATTTCAACAATTTAGACTAATCATATATAACAATTCTATTTATACTTATACTTTGGTGGAAATAGAATGATTTTCCCTTTTTTTATAGTCACACATTGAACTTTAAATATATACACTCCAGTTGCAATAAACTGATCATTTTCTTTGAACTTGTTATCCACAGTATAGTTGGACATTCTCAGAAAACAGAGAAAAATGTGTAAATATAAAATATGGATGAGATTAAATGAAAATACAGGAAGCACATAAGCTTCGGTTTAAAATCACCTTAATGAACAAGAAATCTTAGTTATGGAGTCTGAAATGCAATCTAATACATTAAAATAAGTGGGAAAATAAGAAAAAGAAACTTTTTAAAAAACAAGTTGCCATCAAAAGTATAGAAGATGTAGGATTTTTCTTTTCAATTTGTTTAATGTGGATATTAATTATTTAACAAAATGTGAAAAATCACTTAAGTATATATTTTTATAACACCATTATATTTAGAAATAAGAACTAATTATTTCTGTCAGAAGTGTAGGTATTTCCAAAATACAGACAACGGCCTGAATATTTTTTCTATTTTTATCTATGGTCAGCAGCAAGTAGGTGTAGCCACATTGTCTCTCTAGCTTTGGGTAACAAAATGAAACATCTATTTTTTAATCACCCGGGAGGTGATAATTTGATGGGTTTCTTTTTTTCACCAAATAAACAATTTCTTTCATTTTGAGTAGACACAGACTACTGCTAAAATTTGAAAAAGATTACTTAATTCATTTAGAGTACATTAAATTAATAATATTTCCCACAAGATTTTCAATTAAAAATTGAAAGTGTAGATATGTGACAGTCTTGGTTTTTCAAGTTGATATCCAGCCACTGAAAACTACAATTGTACTTTGCTCTTTTGTTTTTTGGCTCTAAAGACATGTTTCTA